TTCCAAAACATTCTGAATTTTACCTATCTTTTCAAATTTGCAAGCCACTTTACATTTGTAAAGACCTACAAGTGATGCCCATCTCAAAATCCTCAGGAAATACTCATATTTTATGAATGGGGAGAGAAACAGAGACTAGTACAGAGACAAAAATTCATGTGTTTGGGAAGTATGATGGCCGCAGATAAAAAGATAAAAAAAAGTGAAATAAGATCAAGAATAGCATTAGGAAAAGGGCATTAAAATAGCATTAGGAAATTTTCTGAAGAAGGGTCTAGGCCCAAAACGTCAGCCTTCCTGCTCCTCTGATGCTGCTTGGCCTGCTGTGTTCATCCAGCTCTACACCTTGTTATCTCAGATTCTCCAGTTCCTACCATCTTAGGAAAATGTCATATTTATTAAGAGAAGATTGCCGCTTACTAGAAAGCAGAATAAACAACTCAAAAACTGAATTATTTTGAGGTATTGTTTTGAAATGATGAGACTTGGACCTTATGGAAGGAGACCAATTTTCTGGAGAAAAGAGCAACAAATGATCAAATTTTGTGGAAAGTCAACGAACAAGAAACGTTGTTGAATGTACTGGGAATGTAGAGAATCACTTAAGAGGAACATTTCATGAGGAAATTGAATTTAAATTTAAAGAGACACGGAGGGTAAATTTCAACAAAAAAATGGAAGAGAATATCAATGCTGGATTGTTTGATAAATTGAAGCAAATTAAATCGAAAATAAAAAGTATGGCACAGGGTAGAGGGATGTGAAAAGACAGTTAGGAACCAGAAACCTGATTTAATCATAAGTCTGTAGCAACATACAGATAACTGCAAAAACTCAGTTCAGCAATACACTATACTTCACGAACATTTCTGGACCATAACAGAGATGGAACAGCAGCTTTATCTTTGTATTTAGTATGGGAGATACAAAAAGTTCCAACGGATTAATACTTCAATTTTTGCACTAGAATAAATGAGAAATTATAAGAAATAAGTTGTTCTTCACCAGGACTCCAAGTCAACATGTGCATATTTAAAACAAGCGATTGGGGAGGTTTTGGCTGAAGAACTGATACAAGTATTCATTTGGACAGATGCCAGTGCACATGTTCTCATTTCGTAATGACTCAGCAATGCAAGCTTCTGGGAAATCAGCCAGATTTGGGAAGTTGGATTAACAACTTTAGGAATGAGGTAAAAGGTTTGAATTTCTATCAAAGGACAGATAATGCTTCACTTGATTTACCCATCCATCTCCACAGCTTTCTCAACTTTTCTACCTCCTACTTCTTTGCACACCAAGTGAGGCAATTACGAGCATCAAAAAGTTATTATCTTTGCAAATGACTTGGATTGCCATCTGACATGCTCTTTCCCTTTCATCAACCAGACTCCTAATCTCTGCACAAAGGTAGGCTCAGTAACCAAGACAAATATTCATAATTTGGTTTGTTCTCTTTTGAGATAAGGAAGAAGTTAGGATAGAAATTTAGAGGCGGGGGGGAAGCAATTACAAAAGGTTGCAATGAATTTGTTCTGCTTGCTTAAAAAAACCCCATGAAAACACATCCACCCACCGTGTGTAGACAGATTGTACACCAAATGTAATATTTAGGTCAAGCAATATTTGGAGTTTGCGGATAACTTGACTCACACAGGGGAGAAGGGAAGAAGGCATCTGGTGGTGAAGAAAAAGGGCTAGAATATTTCAGCATAGAAGAGGAGACAAGGGCAAGGGCAAATAGATGTGGGGAAAGAAAAGGATGAGGGCCACCAAAAAGCAGAAAGGAAAGAAAACCCAAAAATGAATATGGTCACAACAAGTTTCATGAGAAGGGGACAAGTGGGAGTGATAGGGACTGTTTTACATGTTCCAGCACGGTCTAAAGTTTTGGGACAGGGTGTCCCAACTGGGGAAGGGACTGATTAAAGAATACAGGTTTTAATGAGACAGGAGAGGGAAGAGAGAGAACATAAGGGTAGACTGTGGCCTGGCTACACTAACATTAGACTGGTAATCCATAGGTTCAGGCTAATTGCTCTGGGGTTACAGGTTCAAATCTGAACAAGACAACTGGTGGAATTTTAACTGATTTTTTTTTTTTTTAAGTAAAAACTGGACATGAAAGGTGATCTCAGCAATGGTAACCGTGAAACTATTGATTGATTGATTGATTGTCATAACAACCCATCTGGTTCACTAATGGAAGTGAAGGAAATTGGCCATCCTTAGCTGGTCTGGCATATGTGATCCCAGACCCAGGGTCCTGCACAGCGATGCTCCCTGGTCCAAAATGACAAATCCATACAAATTTGCATTTTAATTAGCTGCATACAGGAGTAGCTGCTGTTTTAGCAGCTAAATTTACGTGACTTTTAACATTGAAAACCCCAAACTCTGTCAATTAAGAATGTAATTACTACTGAAGATAAATGTTAAGTAGTTTTCAGTTTTCTTTTCCATTTACAGAACCAGATAGAGAACTTTGCAAATCATTGTTATTGCTGCTACGCACTGAATGGTTTTATTATGAAAAGGGGTTTTGCAGTATTATTCAATTGCAAAGACACCCAAGTCCATACCGCAGTGCATTCAGGTTTCCTCCACATTACTGGGGTTGTTCATCTATGTCCAAAAATGCATTTCATACCCGATAGGATGTGGGCTCTATTTTCACAAAAACTATTTTAAAATAGGCCCTGCAGTGAAATGAGAGAAAAGTCTCTTAGAACCAGGTTATATTTTGTTTATTTTAATAGGAGTAACTCTACAACGACTTAACCACAACACCAACCATATGTCTCAATGTGCTGAAATTAAGGACCTGCCTTTTTGCCTCAACAAGCTCCTCCAATCTCATATCCCAGCCCATATCTTTCAGCCCTCAAGGTGTGGCTTCATCTGCAACTCCACTCCCTGTCATTAAAACATGGGTGGCAGAGTCTACATCTGCATTGATGATCTCTGGCATTACCTTAAACCATGATGTCTTATTATTTCTTCCTCCCCTTAAAAACCTGAAACCTCATCTTTTTCAGCTCTCCCAAGCTTGATTGTGCACTGTTTTTGCCTCTAGTAAGCACCTAGTAATAGTATTTATTATTAGTATTCACTTATAAAAGTGACTAAAAATACGAAGATGTATTTCCACTACAATTAAAAGACTGTGTAAATTAGGTAATTAAATCAGTTCCCAAGAGCAAGAGTATAGAGATTATTCCAGATATAGAATCTTTCAACATCTGGAAAATGTAACACTTCACAGGACCCTCAGCTACAGGACACTAGACCTTTGTGTTTCCAAAACCACATATAGATATATGTTTAAGGTAATTACAAACTAAGAAGTCTGCCATAATGAATGTTAACATCCACAAACAAAAACAGAAATTGCTGGAAAAGCTCCGCAGGTCTGGGAGCATCCGTGGAGAGAAATCAGAGTTAACATACATTTCGGGTCCAGTGACTTTTCCCTCAGAATTGATGGTAGCTAGGAAAAGGTTGTTTTTTTTAATGCAGAAGATACAGTGGGGGGAGATAAGTAAAACAAATATTTACATCTTAACATTTACTTTTGTGAAACATTTACAACAAATATCAGTTGACATGGCTTTTTTTTAAAAAAACAAAGTGATTCCTTCAGAGACTTGGAAACTGCACTAAAACAGTTCCAACAATCCAAGTTCTAAACAAGACTGGAAACATACACTCAAGTCCAAGTCTAAAGGTTGGAGATAAAGGGCAGTAATTTCCCCAAAGTTAAAGAACAAGACAGTAACATGAAAGTGAAGTTCGACCAGTTGTTAGCTATTGTTTGTGAATTCACTCTTCCTGCGTACATTATTTACTGAGATCATCAGAATAGATACAATTAAAACATTTGCAAGAAATGTGCTGCATCAAAAGTGGGCTAATAATAAAAAAAAACTGTGTAATGGTTACCAATAGGAAATTTTCCGCAATCGACGGATCATTGCTGTTTGCTTGCAATGGCAATGTTGATAGGTCATTTTATAACAGAATACAAAGGATCATTTATACATGATATAAATAATTAAGATATAGGTTGAAATGTCATAATACAATGGAATACACAATCCTTGTTTAATAAAAGGTCCTTTCCCCACCCGTTAAAGTTATTTTCCTTTGTAGCAGGGTTTCAAATACTTAGTGTACATTAATTACAGACTTCACATCAAGTAGGGTTTGGAGCATACTGACAAAGGAATACTTCTGAGATATGGAGTCATGCTTGAGGAAGACACATCCATATCCCCCCCCATGCCCCATAGGCCTCTCCAGTACTTCCTCAAATCTCTGGCTTTCTACCATTTTGGCTGTTGTAATGTAGCACCCACCAAAGAACATCTCTTTTTAAAATTACAGTAAACCGCAACTATGAAGCTCAAGTCAGGATAATGATATCTTTTCCCCCCATGGACATAGTGCCATGAGCATTGCATTTTCACCATTCTGCAAACAAATCTAGTAGGTCTACTATCAAATTTGTCACTGTACCAGGATATCAGACAGCTCGGGAGGTTGTTTAACTTCAAGGTTTTCCAACTCAACACTGAATAAAAATACAAACTTCAGATGTAAAACATTTTAACACTATTAATACTTAATTTAAAACTGTATATGTCATTGAGCACTAAACACTTGTAAACCATGTAGCGGAGTTTATGGCAGACACATCCTTTTCTATTTTCAACTAAAGGAACCATGTTAATACGATTTCATATATGTATAAAATACCTATTAGCCAGAAAATAAATAGTGTAAATAAAAGTTTGTTCAAATGAAGACAGCTCCAGAAAAAAACAGAAGATTGTAAATTACTAGTTTGAAAGTTATCAGCTTCAATCTTGTACTTTCAAACTTGCTGGTGACTAAATATGGTAAAAAGTCAAAGTTTAACATTTGTGTGACTCTTATTGTGCACGAGCAAACAAGAACAATGTGTTGTGTAGGCTATGAATGAAAACGCACACTAATAATTGGCATATTACAAATGATTTTATAGGAACAGTTTTGCCTGTACACTTACAGAAGATTTCTATATGGCAATACAGGAAAATGTGAAACTGAACACAACCTAAAAGTGCACAAAATACTTCAACTGAAGGAGGAAAAGAAATTATTGCTAAATTTCAGTCAGTTGGTCTATTGAAATACAAGTGAACTAGAGTAATAATATGCCAACTGATAAAAATCACAAAAACATCCAATTTATCTCACTGGTGCGATTAACCAATCTTTACCTGGTGGTTACAAGGATACACAGACATTGAGTAATTGTTCAAAGTCCTCAACCATGATATCCAAATTACAATTCATATTACTCCATTGAAAACAAACAAATCCATAAAAAGTCATTCATATTACCTCAGAAATTAACGTTGATATCCTACAACCATTTAAAAAAAAATTCGAAATTGGCAAATAAAGCTCATTAGTTCCCTTTAAAACCAGGGACAATACTCTTCAATATTTATGGTGTTCAATGTGGTCTCCCACTGGATTTCAAACCATTACTCAAAAATACTGGCATGCTGGCCCTTTACAAAATTGGTCCGGGGGCAGACAAGCACAAACTGGCAATAAGAACCCTATGTGCAAACCAGATGTGTGAAAATAAATTTATGTTGTGCTCTACATTAAAAAGGCATTTGGAAATTATCTTTCAAATCAAAGTGAAAATTCTGAACTAAGGAGTATAAGAAAACAAAATGGCAAGGTCTCCCTTTAAAAGAAGAATGTTAAGAAAAGCAATTCCAATTGAAAAAAAGCAGAATTTTTGGACTCGTGCACAAGTCTGTTAAGGACGTCTGTCATAATTACAGTAATTTTTATGGAGGAAAAGTGACACACGATATAACACTCCAGGTTGCTAGCTGCTGATAATGCCAGCACACGGCCAATTAAACAGCAAATTGTACACAGCTTGCCCTGTGTACCATCTAATGCACTGAAAACATCGTCTTGTTTTACTCCAATGTTTTTTTCTTTCAATTAGAAACAAATCATGGCTTGGCTTTAAAGACAAATTGCCCAGGTGTTATCTCATTTAGTACATACTGCTGCTAGAAGGTCACTTGCTCCTGAACAAAGCCAGTCTGCACAGAAATACTGCATACAACATGGTCACTATCAAGGGACTAGATCTTTAGTGTAGATTCGGAGGACAGTTTTGGAAACCTGCAGTTAACAGTCTAAAATTTGTAAAAACCAGATACGGATTCAGTGTGGCAGTCTTTCATAGATGATTGAGAAAATAGTATTGCAGCTCAACGTGAAAAATGGGATGACTTTATTTGGCAAATAGATCGTGCTCAACATGTGTTGGGCGCATGGAGGAGAGGAGAGGGGAGGACAGATGAGAGAACGAGAACAAAGGCCTGTGATTACAAAAATGAAGGAGCACATAAACAAGAAATTTTTAATCTAGTTTTTGATAAATTATATTTTTAAAAAATTTCCAATGCATTCCAGTTCCAAAAGTGCAATCAATCTGCAAGACTTCAAAACTTTTCAGTAGTGCTTCTCCTGCAAATAATCCTTCATTTTGTTTGGCAGAGGCAGTTTTTGAATTAAGTCTATTCGAGTGTATTGACGAATAACAAAACGACACAAATACTGCAGTGAGCGCACTTGCATGAACCGGGAGACTGGGTTTGTTAGTCTTACAGGATAAGTTGCGGAGCCAGGTAGGCGAGACCTAGAATAGCAAAATGCTCCATTTTCAGAGTCCTTAATTGAATGCTCAATTAACTCTACAATAGACGTGTGCCCCTCCACATCTGGTTGTTCGTAAAAGCTAAACCTTCCATTTGAGTGTTCTATTCTAGTGTGAAGAGTTTTGCCTTGTGAACGAAAACTCAGGCTTAAAAGATAACGGTCATCAGAACTATCACGGACGAGAAAAGAACCATCAGGCACATTGGCAAGCTTCTCTTCTGCCTCCCATCGTGTTATGGGACCCCAGTACCATCCTTGTTTTGCAAGTTTTTTCAGCTCTTCGGTGAGACTGGTGACAACCATTGGACCATTATTTTGTACGGAGTCGTAAACTCTCCCTACTCCAGGAGCAGAATTTGGATCAAAATTCAAATGATGACGAACTCTTTCTGCTACATGCGCTGCTGTACCACCAAACCCAGAAAATGTCAATTGCATTTGATTTGGAATTGGAGGTAGGAGTGGAGATAGTGGAGGAAGATCAACATGATTAGAATTTGAATTCTGCAAGATGACACCAGTTGTACCAATTAAAAGACCATTTACAGGTGGGTCCAAGAATATATCAGAAGCAACCATTAAATCTGGGACCATATGGCCTTCATCCGTCTGTAGCGGGCTGCTACATAGATGGGACGGCACTGATGAAACTTCCATTGGCAATGGATTGTCAAGACAACAGGTACGGGACCCTTCCATAGGGAACATTCCCTCTTCTAAAGGCATTGTGTACTGAATGTAATTCTGAGGCATCAATCCAATAACCACAGGAACATGACAAGATTCATCAGTATTCAAATTAGAATTGTCATTTTGCGGCTCAATTTCTTCAATGGTGTTGTTCTGCTCCTGAAAGACACGATCTGTTTGCATATCATGGAATTCCTTACGAACACCATTTAATGCCTGGTTTGGGCTATTGTTGTGAACTAATGCTTTGACCTTAACTTCCATCTTAATGCAGGTCTCTTCAGAGCTGGCTGATCGTAAAGGCCAAGGTGTAGGACTATAATGATGGCCCCGAAGTGAGGTGGATCTTAAGGGTCTTTGAGCTTTTAAATCATTAATGCTTGCTGGAGTTGAAGAGGAGGAAAATCGATCATCTTCCAAGTTAAGAGAAGGTGAATTCCCCTTTCCTTTTTGTTTCTGCTTTGCAGAAAGCCTCCTTTTCAGTGTGCCCATCAAACCTTCACCTTTTGCTTTATTTTTAGGTCCTTTATCATCTTCGTCTGCTTTATTCAGATCATTAACAGCCAAATCTTTCCCATAACAACTAAAGACAGAATCTTCCTTCCCAAAATCGTTCACAAGTGACGGGTGCTGTACGACCACAAATTCATTTTCATCTTTGCCTTTGTTTAAGTTAAAAGATTTTCTGATTGTTTTGAGGCTGATTTTCTTCATCCTGAAAAAGATGTACAAGTCTTTTCGCACAGCAATCACTCCAATGATGCTCTTTGCACCAATCTAATTAACGTGCTTTTCTTTGTCCAGAACACAGCTAAACACCAGGACGTCCATCTCCTGCAAAGGCAGAAAAAGGGTTAAACTTTTCAATGTTTAAATACATATACTTTGAGACACAAAGAGCAAACTATGTACAATCCAGAATGTTAAAAGTGAATTTCTAATGCTAAAATGTAAGCGTGTGCAAAGCTAACTTATATCTCTTTGAATGGCGTAAACCACTTAGAATATACAAAAGGAAAAAAATTCACGAAACGTGGGCTAACAATGGCTTCAATTCCATGGTATTGGAAAAGCTTGGCCAGGAGCTAATGCGATTTTTAATCATGGCTTGTCAGCTCTGAATGACTGTTAAAACTGATTTGGATCACAGGTAATTTTAATAAGAAAGTAAGCTCTTTCTCCTTCAACCCAAAAGTGTTATTCATAATTTCATACTCTTATAGAGTAACTTCATTAACAGCTATAAAACACAGCCAAATAAAGCATGAGCATATTTACTACCAGAAAGATGAGTGTGTCCGTAATTTCTTCCATGCTGAGTCTTCAGCAGTCAGATAACAGATGCCACAAGAGAAATCAGCCAAGAGGAAGTTAATAGTTTCCCAGTATGATAAAGCTCAACCAGCCTGAAGAGATTTTTCGAAAAACGTTTACTGATCACTTCACACTGCGTTCGATGCAGATAGAGACAAGAAAATTTGTAAATCCAGAAAAAAATGTTATTTGCCAGATTAAGCATAGTAGTCATGTAAAGAAACCAAACTATGGCTTCATTAAGAAAGTGTCTTTATTAAAGCTGATTAACCTTCTCAATCCTTACCAAGCTCATTCAACAATGGGAAATAAAGGGTTCAAAAGATAGTCTATTAAGATGAAAAACACAGAGCTGGGTTTTTAAGTTCCACAATAATACATATTTTGATTTTTACAAAGCTTTTGAAGAGTAGGGTTTTTCTTAGCTATCCACTTTCAGTTATCCAAGTTCTGCTTACAGAGGCTTCAAAGTGAATCTGACAGCTGCCTGCCAGCCATTTTTCAGACAACTGAGTGGGAAGTGCTGCATTAACTAGAGCTGCTACGTGCTAGGAAACATACTGCTTTGACCTTGATCGTAGAAGTACATTTTTTGTTGCACTGAGAAACTGCAAGAACTCAATGAAATTTTGGATATTTTGCTACCACTGGACCACAGTGGTTCGCCAATACTACTAAATGTCCTTAGGTCATGCTTAAATTAACATTCCAAACACCACAAACTGTTCCTCAGTTCTAACAAAATATAGTTTTAGGGGTGACAGAAAATTAAATCTGCAGAGGAATCCCTTTTTTTGCAGATGAGTCAAGAAATATGAGGATACAGATTAGTTTCAGTAGGCAACAAGAAAACAAAGTCTCGCTCACACAGAAACCAAACCCCATTTTCTGAAGAAGGGTCTAGGCCCGAAACGTCAGCTTTCCTGCTCCTCTGATGCTGCTTGGCCTGCTGTGTTCATTCAGCTCTACACCTTGTTACCCCATTATCTTGGCTCAGTGCAGACAGGTTGGGTAGAACTGCCTAATCTATCCTGGTATGTTTGGTATCAATATTCTATGTGAATCGTCATCCTTCAGGGCCTCGGCCACAGGTTCAGTCTCACTTAATTCAGCTGACTCCCAACTATGATCTTAGATTGGGACAAACCCAACATTCAACTGACTCTAAAATGCAATTCTTCAAGGTTTAGAAGTAATAACTAGACAGATTTTTCCCCCCAGATCCTTAAAATAGCTTCATTTTATATACTTATAAATATTACATAAAATGAACCAAAGCCAAACATTCACTAGCTTGTTCTTTGGGGAATGGTGTTCATAAAAAAGAAATCTAATACATTTCAGTATACTCCTATATTTGTGGTTACTGGCAGGGCATAGCATGAGGTTTAGTCATGTGAGCTTTCCATCTCCCAGTTTCTGCAAGATTTGTTTAAAAAGAAATACTCATTGCAACTTGGCCTGAATCAGTAAACACTAAAACTGACTGTTGTCTGAAAAACAGCCTCACAGAAATCTGTAATCACTCGCTATTCCCAGTAATTAATTCTTATCCTACATCTACAGTTTAATCAAGCCTTTCAATGCAGAAATCAAGTGAAAATGATAACTTGCTAATAAAAAAAAGGGTTAAAAAACTCAGCAAGTCTGGCAGCATCTGTGGAGAGAGAGTTAATGTTTTAAATCAGATCTTACTCTTTTCCAAAAGCGTTTTCGTTCAGAAAAGGCTGAGGGAAGAGCGTGTAGCACAGAAGGGTGAGTCAAAAGAAGGTTAGAGATTGAGGAAGATTTGACATCATGGGAGGGGGTGGGGGGGCAGAAAAAATGAATAAGGGAGTGGCAATGGTTAACAGAAGGGAGATAGGTCCAGTGTGAGTGTTAATTGTACAATATAGGTTAGCTGAAATCCAAGAAAACAAGACACGGGCTTTGAAAAATCCACCTGGACTAAAGTTTCACTCTCTTTGATATTCTTTTGTTGATTCAGTACATACTTTTAAAAAAAATTCTATATGCATTTACCTCATTGCTCATACTGTCATCCAATTTCATATATACCTGTTCAAGCTCTCTGGTAAATACCAATGTAACAAAATAATTATTTAATATTTCTGCCATCTTTATCAAACCCTTCATGATTCTAATCCTTGGCTAAAGACAATGCTACCAATCACTCCCCCACCAATTACAGTGTTCCCTATTACTGCTAGTCTTCATCTTACCGCCTCAGAAAGCCTTAAGGATCAAGTCTACCCTACCTTCAGTCTTTCTCCTAGGCTTCCAGTATAATGATAACAAGTACTGGATAGAACCAGTGCCTGCAGGATGTCTCCTCTGCCTAGAAGTGTACGGGTCAAAGAAACTATTACAGAATCCAACAAGTGTCCCTGTACGCCAGGGATCTAAAGCATCAGAGTGAAATTGTCTGTTGCAAACTAAATAAAGATACAGAGCCTTATTTCCAGAGAAAATAAGGTAGTGTGATTCCTTTACATATGTGCAGTTACCCTTGTGACATCAAGCCAGCTCCTGTTTTCTGCCAATGATAGCTTTCAACTCAGGAGATTCAATTCATTAATTACACTTAGTAAGAAAACACCATCTATCCACAGGTTAACTGTCAGAAAAACACAGATGATGCAGCCATTAAAAAAAAACTAGAAAACATTGCCCTTGCACAAAAAGCAAAAACTTTATTCACAAATAATCACTGACAAGATCATTGTTCCTTGCTTTGTACGCTCTTTTTCCTGCTTTTACAATGGAAATTAGGAATTTCACAGTTTCCTTGCACAAAAAGCAAAAATTTGAGATTGCACTTTTAACACTGAAAACAATGCTTGATAGAAGAGTGAGTGAACATGGAGCTATTGTGCATGGTTGGCTCCAACTCGTGGGAAGCTTTGGACACAAACACAGCCATTAAGGTATCATTGCAGAAAAGATTTACAAGGATGTTGCCAGGGTTGGAGAATTTGAGCTCTAGGGAGAGGCTGAATAGGCTGGGGCTATTTTCCTGGAGGGTCGGAGGTTGAGGGGTGACCTTAAAGAGAGTTATAAAATCATGAGGGGTATAGAAAGAGTAAATAGACAAGGTCTTTTTTCCCGTGGGTAAGGGAGTCCAAAACTCGAGGGCTTAGTTTAAGGTGAGAGGGGAAAGATTTCAGAGGGACCTAAGAGGTAACTTTTTCATGCAGAAGGTGCTGTATGTGTGGAATGAGCTGCCAGAGGTGGTGGTGGAGGCTGTATTATAACATTTAAAAGGCATTTGGATAGGTACATGAATGGGATGGGTTTGAAGGGATATGGGCCAAATGCTGGCAAATGCAGCCAGATTAATTTAGGATATCTAGTCCACATGGATGAGTTGGACCGAAGGGTTGGTTTCCATGCTGTACTACTGTATGGCTCTATCTCATCCATATTTGGATACCCAGTTACCATTGAGCAAGTCTCAGTGAAGGTGGGGATTGATACAGAGCTGTGGCTTCATAAATCATGGGCTAACGAAGAGCGACAAGAAATCAAGTTTATGCTCCTCATGACTATCAAAAGATCTTTGCTGGAAAATACAGGTGGAGACCAAATTGAGGGACAGATCACAGGTATCACCTAGATGAGGAATCAACAAATATAGACTTGGAATGGCAGACCAGCAGGAGTTACCAAATATACTGGTAAAAAAATTGATCTCATGTAAAAGTTAACACCTTGTAATTTTTCATGTACCTCATACGAAAACTTGTACTAATTTTTTTTTAAATGAATCAAAGCCCTAGGATTTCACAACCAAAGAATAATCTTAGAGATGTCAATAGCTCAATTTAATTACGAATTTAGAAATAAGAAAATAATTATCTAATTCTTATTTGTGTATTTACTGATAATGAACAAGGAAAAAGTATAGTTTGTAATGTTATAAAATAAATATATGACTAATATGAATTCTCATGTAGTATCTTTTAATTTATTGAAGCAGTATTTTTAATTTTCGCTTGGGGCCCAAATCAAGCACATCTGGAAGACATGACCTGTGTAAAAGTGACTTCTGACATAAAAGGTTAATCTCCAAAGTTGATATTTATACAAGTATACACAGTAATACATAACAATGGAGAATGGCACAAATAAAGAAAGTAGTTTATCCACTTTCTATCTAAACAGTTCTGAAATACAAATTGGATAATTCCAAATTACTCCCTAAAGCAGAATGCACAATGTGTGGGTAGCAAGTGGATGAACAATTAGGTAAGTTAAACAATCAGAACAACATTTTTTTTCCTCTGTCCCTCTCCTCAAAAGTAACAGACCAGAGAAACTGTTTTTAAATTAAATAAGTAGATTTTACGAAATCAAAACTGGGACTGGCTGATGTTTTATGCCCTTATGACAGAGCAATTATTTGATTAGCACCCTCACACCCATCATTAAATCCCTTAACCTCTTCATCACTGGTAACCTGTAGCCCCAATAGGTACCAGTTATCAGAAGAATATCAGCAACCTGCTGAGCTCACTTCAACATCAATGCTCAAACCAGGGGCCTACGAGCAGACTACACAAAAATTCCATATTAGCAAAATCCTATTTAATTTCAGCAAAATCTCTTGAATTCTCCAACCACTTTGCGATAAAAGGTTTATGTATCATCTGTTTTCCTAATTGCTTGTTGTACCTGCATGTTAATGTTGTAATTTTTACACAAAGTAGCTCGAATCACTAGGCATATTTACATTTATAGTTTTTTAAAATCTGTTTTCCAATGTTTTCCTACCAAAGTGGAAAATGTCACATTTCGCCACATTATGCTGGCACCTGTCACCTTCTAGCACTATTGAATAGTTCTGAGCTGCCAGTCAATTTTCTAGCACACCCCTAGTTTTTGTCGTGTAGTTGGAGCAGAGATTGTGGAGGCATAAGATCAATTACTAACTGCAGAATACCCAGCATTTCCCCTGCTTATATAATCCAGGTGTTGGTGTGGCAGATTTAGTTGTGGTAGCAAATGTGTGGAGATTTCATAATGTGTGTAATGTATTGGGGAGAATACTGTTGCTGATGATTTTAGTCTTTCTTGAGAATACTATTAGTAGTGATGCCTTTCCAAAGATGAACAAAGTGCTACCTTCTTTA